AATAAATAATTAAGAAGATTATAAATAATTAAATTATTAAAATAAAATAGATTAAATAAATTAAATAAATTAAATAAATTAAATAAATTAAATAAATTAAATTAAATAAATTAAATAAATTAAATAAATTAAATAAATTAAATAAATTAAATAAATTAAATAAATTAAATAAATTAAATAAATTAAATAAATTAAATAAATTAAATAAATTAAATAAATAAATAAATAAAATAAATAAAATATATTAAGTTTATATTATAATATTATAACTCTTATAAAAGATTCTGTAAAAACTTTTTATAAATTCTTTTTATAAATATCTATTTTTTATTTTAATTTAATCTATTTTGAGCAGCTCTATTTAAAAAAAAAAGATTATTTTATAATTTTAGACTCTAGATATAAATTTCTATTTATTAAATTTATTAAAATAAATAAAGTACAGCAGATATCTTAATTATATATTAAAATATAATAGATTATATTTATATAAAATTATATCTTAAAATAAAATAAACTATTTTTAGAGTTTTCTATTTTTATTTTTTTATATTTATTATTTATAAAATAATTTTAGAATTATAAATTAATTATAGTTATCTAATTTATTTTTAAAAAAATATTATTAAGTCTTTTTTATCTATTTCTTTGATTTTTATAAATAATAATATCTAAATTAAGATAAGCTTCTTAAGTCAGATTTTATTTTCTTTAAATCTTGAGATTATATATATTATAAAGAATCAGAAGATTATTTTATATTTAGCTTTTTTAAAAAAGCTCTTTATTTTTTAAAATTAATAATAAAAGATAATCTTTTCTAAAGATTATATATAAGCTTAAAAACTATTATTTTACTTTAATTAGAAAAAGTTATTAATAATATAGAATAGTTTTTAAAAAGATATATTATTTCTCAATAAAATTTTTTATATTTATTATATTATATATCTTTATATTTATAATATTCAGAAATTAAAAACTTAGAAACTAGTTTTATAAGCTATTATTTTTAGAAAAATTATAAAAAGAAATTATTATTAATTATATCTAAATAAGTAATTAGTTAGATACTGAGTAAAGAAATATTATAGATATTTATTTATTTTTTTAAAATAAATTTTTTTTAATTATTATTTTTCTTTAGATCTCTATAATTTATAATAAATAGGATTTTTAAAATTAAATCTTATATTTTATAATTATTTATTATTTATTATTTTAAATTATTAAGTATATCTAATTTAAATAAATAATTAATCTTATTATTTTATCTCTCTATTAAAAATTAAATTTTTCTTATTAAATATAAATTAAAGAATATTTTATAAAATTATCTAAAGATGTATATATATAATTATTATTAAAATTCTTAGATATTAAATAAATATTAATTATAATAGACTACTAAATTAGCTTTAATTAGAAAATATTTTTTATTTTAATTAAATATTTTTTAATAGAAGATATAAATTATTATAAAATTTTATTAAATTTTTAATTAATATCTAAATCTTATATTAATAAAAATCTAATTATAATTATTCTATTAATCTTATATAAATATAATCTTATTTATTAATTATTAGATATAATAATTAATAATATTAATAATAATAATATAATATTTAGTATAATCTTAGCTAAACTTTAAATATAACTTAGTTAAAGTATTTAATTTTATAATATTTTAATTAATTCTAATTTTTTAAAAATTATTTAAAATTAATATTATATTCTCTGTCTTATTTATATAATTTAGCTTATAATTAATATTTTTTTATAAAAACTTTAGATTAAGATCTTAAATACTATTATTAAATATATATAGAAAAATAATAATAAAAATCTTAAAATCTTTTTTAATATTTTAAAAATCTTTAAGAAAATATATCTTAAAAGCTATTTATAAAAAATTAATATAGAATTTTTTTTATAAAAAGTTTTTAAAATTTTTTTATTAGCTAGTTTATTATATTAATTTTTAATTATAGATTTAGAAAATTATATAATTTATAAATATAAATTTTTAATATTATAAAAAATTCTTATTTATTTAATAATTTAAATCTAACTTAATTTATTATTTTTTTTAATTATAAAATCTGCTGAAACTTAATCTATTTTATAGTTTATTAAATATTTAATTTTTATTAAATAATTAAAAGTTTTATTCAGTACTGTAAGTATAATAATATTAATTATTTTTATTTTATTATAATTAAATAAAAATAAATAGAATATTTTCTTAAGCTTTTATATTTTTTTTTTATTTTTTATCTCTCTAAGAATAGTAGATCTATTATTTATAAAATTTATAATATTTATAATAATCTCTTTAATTATCTGAATTATTTAATTAATAAATTAAAAAAAAATAGATATTTTAAAAAAAGAAGATTCTTAAGAATTTATATAATATATATTAAAAGCTCTGAAAATATTATTATTATATTTATTAAATAAAAACTATATTTATATAATTATAATTATTCTAGACTTAATATTAAAACTTAAGAAATTTAAGAAAAATATATAGCTAGATAATAATATTAACTAATATTATAAATATTAAATTATTATTAAGAGAATATTCTTTTTTTATTATAATTAGAATCTAATAATTAATATACTATTAATAGTCTTTAAATTATTATTAAATTTAAATAAAATTTTTTATAATATTTTTAAATATTAGAAACTTTTATCCGCAGCTAAGATATATAAAGAATTTAAAATATATCTAAATATTAAAAATATATAGCTTTTTAAAATATTTTTAATTAAGTTAATATAATTCTAGATATTATAAAATATATTAATATTCTTATTTATTAAATATTCTGCTATAATTAGTTTTCTATTTTTTATTAAATAATTAGAGATTTCCTCTTAACTATAATTAATAATATTAATATTAAATATTCTTTTTTAATAATTTTTAAAATATTTATTATTATTATCAGAGCTGCTTTTATTTTAATATAATTAAAATAATTATACTTTAAATATATATTAATTATTTTATTATAAATAAGAAGTATTAGAATATACTTAATAATCTTAATCTAAATTTAATTATTTTTATATTTAAAAAATAAAAAAAAAATAAGATAATTATTATCTTTTATATTAATAAAAATAAGAATATAAATAATCTTAAAAATAACTTAAAGAATAAATTATTATTAAAATTAAAAAAATTAGTTTTATTTAAATCTTTAATTATTATATATATTTAAATAAAGATAAAAACTTAATTTTTATTTTTTTTATTTTAGATTCTATAAAAGTCTTTTTTAGAGTATAATATATTTCTTAAAATAATTAATTAAGCAGATTAAGTAATAGACTATATTTAAAAAATATTATTATATTTATATTATAATTAAATATATATTATATTTTATATATTATCTATATAAAAAAAATATATTTATTATAAATTAATCTATAATTATTAATTTATTTATTATATGTGATTTTTCTGATCAGCAGATATAAATAATTATAATAATAATTATATCTTAATCTAATCTTAACTATATAATTAAAATTCTTTTATATCTTAATCTAACTATTAGATTATGGCCAGGTTAAGATTAAGATATAACAGTCAGATTAAGCCACTCTAAAATAGACTATTTTAAATTAATAAAATAAAATAAATTAATAATAAAATTATAATATTAAAAAAAGATAATAGTCAGATATTATAAAATATATTTAATAAAAAATATATTTAAGTAGTTATAATCGCGAGAAGAGAGCTTAAAAAAATTAAAAAAAATTAAAAATAATAATAAAATTAATTAGATATTAAATCAGAGTAGAATATTTAGTAAAGTCTGATAGAATTAAATCTAATACTAAGTAAAAAAATTTAAAATCTATATAAAAAATATAAGAGAGCAGAAGATTAATAGATTTAATTAATTAGAGACGGCTGTCTACTTAAGATATCAGCAGGATACTGAGTCATGTGATTGATAATATGATATCACGTAATATAGTCCAACAAGCTTTAATTTACTTCTGCTGTATCTTATGATTTTTATCTATAAAAATAATATATAAACATAATATAATTTCTGCTATATTAATTATAATAATTAAAATAATTGTTTTATAATGTTTAGATTATATAAATCTTATATTAGTTTTATAAGATTTATTATTATAAATAATCTTTATAATTAAAGCTACTTATTTTATTTATATTATAAATATTATATTTAAGATTTATGTATTTTTATATAATATTTTTTAATTTATTTAAACTATTAACTTATAATACTAAGCTTCTTATATTTTATAAATTAATAATTAAAATATTAAAAAAAATTAGTTAATTCAGTATTTATTAGTAAAGATATTATTCTTAATATTCTCTAATTTTAATTTTAATAATAAAAAATCTTTATAGGATATTAAATTTTTATAATAATAAATAAATAATTTTATAAATCTAATTTAAGAATTTAATATTTTAATTTTTATTTATTATTCTTTAATAACTTTCTTTAATTTATCTCAATTTAGGTATAATATCTAATTTTTTTACAATATTTATCTTAATATCAAATACTGTAGTATATACTTACTTAGAAAAAAATTATGGCACTACTCTGTATAATATTTGCCTGAAATTCAAGGCCCCCGATTCTTTTTCAAGAAACGAAACTATTCATTATATAATAATTCTTAATTATATCTAGTATATATTCTAACAAAAAAGAAAGTTAGCCTTAAATTCAGGCAGCGAGTAAAAAAATTCAAGTTGTGTAAGAAGATAAACCCACCGGGGTTAGGTGAGCCGCCGCGAGATTAGGTGAGCGTTCACCCGGGGTCGGCTGACCTGTAGTCACATTTGTTGGGGTCCCCTTGCAGGCGACCTCGGAGCGCTACCATAGCGCTCGGTTAGAGAAGGGGTGTTGTATTGCAGAACTTTGGGGTTGGGCATGGGGGAGACCAGACTATTCCTCCTCCAACGCTATCTCTGGAAGGCGGTCTAAGCCCTAACGATAAGCTAGCGCGACCAGCGGTGAGCTAATTGGGTGGAGAATACTAAATATTATTTATTCAATTTGATCTAAGAGCACAATACATAAATCCATTCAGTTGCATAATATCGAATCGAAGTCACTTTTGGGTCACTTTTGGTCCTGTGTGCAACACAACAAGATGCCAAACAATCAGGATATGGATTATTCGCAATCAAAGGATGCTTACGGGCTAGATTCAAATGCCAGCGTACCTTCAGAGCTATCAAAAAAAGAAGTCACACCACAAACCTATGGAGCAAGCTCCAGCGGCTCCTTGTCTATCCCCGGTGAAAACAGAAATGCAGATTCCAGCGACAGTTTACTTGAATCAGGAGATCAGGATTCTGGAAATATTCTCCCTAGGGATATACAATTAAAAACACCCACTTATGATTATGCCTTTGAGAAATCAATGAGCCACGCAGAAGCAAAGCTGTTTTACCAGCACCACCAATTTGGATCCCGCAATGGCGACTGTGAATATCCTAGTGAAATACCAGCCATGGCAACCTTGATTACCAATGATAGCGACCCAAAAGACATGGACGGCTCACCCCCGCTAATTGGATCTAGCACTTTGCAGACCTATCAAAGAAAGGATCTTTCCCAAGATGCACACCATGCAGGTGACCTTGCTGCTTTTAAGGCATTTTCCGAAGTCTATAGGACACGGCAACAAGGCCGTGAAGGAGAGGAAATCCATTTGTCCCCGCAGGAAAACTTGGAGAACGTGAGCGACGGCTCTGGGGCGATCCACGGTATGATGAACATCACAGCAGACAGCAGCACTGTCACCTCTGAACTACATGTGATTTATCGCAAGATCAGAAGTTTGCTTGACCGGCGGGCGAATTACATCCAACTGTCTTTACAAGGCCCCAACGATAACCCGAAGGATCGTCCTGATTGGGATGTTTACCCACCACCCCCAGAGCCTGCTTGGGACAACGAGGGAGACCTTGGTAAAACTAGCGAGGCCGTTCAAAGCGACCAGAAAAAACGGAAAATGGGCCAAGATATTGGCGAGGACTTTGACATGACACAGTGCTTGCCACTACCACAAGATTCCAGTTGGGTGTTTAGACTGGATGAGAATAGTGTGTACCAAGTTTATGAAAATGATGTAGCCGCTGGTTTACGACAGCCTGTGGTCAAGATACCGTCCTTAAGAGACTTCTACATGGACCTTGACGCAATCACGGATATATCAACAGATGGGCCCGCAAAGAGCTTTGCGTTCAAACGTCTGTCATACTTGGAGGGAAAGTTTCAGCTCTATGCTCTGTTGAATGAATACCAAGAAATAGCAGACAGCAAGAAAGTTCCTCATAGGGATTTCTATAATGTTCGAAAAGTCGATACGCATGTTCATCACTCGGCGTGTATGAATCAAAAGCACCTTCTTCGATTTATCAAGAGCAAGATGAAAAAGTCACCCGATGAAGTAGTCTTATTCAGGGACGGGAAACACCTGACCTTAAAGGAAGTCTTTGAGAGTATTAACTTAACCGCTTATGACTTGAGTATCGACACGCTTGACATGCATGTAGGTCTGGAGGGAATTGATCAGGGGTGTTCTGTCACTAATAAATTTACAGGCGCATACTGATTCATTTCATCGATTTGATAAGTTCAACCTCAAATACAACCCTGTTGGTGAATCGCGGTTGCGCGAAATATTTCTCAAGACAGATAATTTCATCAAGGGGAGATATCTAGCAGAGATCACTAAAGAGGTTATCTCAGATTTGGAATCCAGTAAATACCAAATGGTGGAATGGCGTATCTCAATATATGGAAGGTCAATCCAAGAATGGGACAAGCTTGCAGCCTGGGTTGTCGACAACAAATTGTTTTCTCCCAACGTTCGTTGGCTGATCCAAGTACCCCGACTCTACGATGTTTACAAGTCAAGTGGAATGATGGAGAATTTTGAGCAGGTGATCACAAATGTTTTTCAACCGTTATTTGAAGTGACGAAAAATCCGGGTAGCCACCCTAAACTTCACATATTTTTGCAGCGTGTGGTTGGATTTGATAGTGTCGACGACGAGAGCAAAGCGGAGCGGCGACTTTACAGGAAGTACCCAATTCCAAGGGAGTGGAATACCAAACAAAACCCACCATACAGCTACTGGATTTATTTCATGTTCACTAATATCGCCTCACTCAACATCTGGCGCAATAAGCGTGGTTTCAATACTTTTGTCCTGAGACCACACTGTGGCGAAGCCGGCGACCCGGACCATCTCGCAGTGGCGTTTCTCTGCTGTCACAGCATCAGTCACGGAATCCTGCTGAGGAAAGTTCCTCTACTACAGTACCTTTACTACCTGGACCAGATAGGCATTGCTATGTCACCTCTCAGCAACAATGCGCTGTTTCTAACATATGATAAAAACCCATGTGCCAATTTTTTCAAAAGGGGCCTCAATGTCTCCTTGTCTACTGATGATCCCCTACAGTTCGCCTTCACAAAAGAACCCTTAATCGAAGAGTATTCGGTTGCGGCACAGATCTACAAGTTCAGTGCAGTGGACATGTGTGAGCTTGCCAAGCATTCAGTGGAACAGAGTGGCTTTGAGCTTTCTTTGAAGAAAAGGTGGCTTGGCAGCAATTGTTGCCTGCCAGGAGTTGCAGGAAACAATGTTGCGAAAAGCAATGTCCCTGACATACGTGAACAATTCCGACATGAAACACGAATAGGGGAGCTGAAACTGTATGATTTCCTCCCTCCCTTGAAACTCCTGTTTTATGAACTAGGGTGTTGCTCCTGTGGGTAGATGATCTGACTCAGACCATTGGTGTTTAGAATTGAAAGATATGCGCGTACAGTAGATGACGCAACAATTGGACAAAGAGCTTTCACTTCTGCTGATCATCTCCCAGCGCTAGTGAACAAAAGTCAAACCAATCACAGTTCAGGTACGTCTGTGTTTATATAAGAAACTTCACCACTTTGCTCATTTAAAACATAGGGTTGTCTCAGGGCATGGGCCAAGCAAGTTGTCCAAAGGGAACCGATGAGCAGCCTAGCTATCCCAGTGTCCAACCGAGTGAAGAAAGTTCTCATGCGCAATCACGTATTGTAGAACCTGTCCTAATGAACAGCACAAGCACTGCCACTACTCTTGGGCAGCACAGTACATCCTTTGTCACCCCCGGTAGCACAGATGTAACCGCATCTGGGTCGGACTGTCTGCCGGAGCCAAAGATCTTCCCCGGTATTGTGCATGAAAGAGTTCATCGGGGTAGTATTCCAGTTCTTGAGGTGACGGGGATGGATCGGGAGGAAGGAAGTGGAAATGGGGAGTAAGAGATTCACAATGTCCCTGTAGTGCTCAAAAGTATGATGTCAGAATAGGACTGAACATCCAGGTCTACTGCCAGAATTATTGCTTCTAATTCCGGTCCTAGTGACTTTGAATTAAGCTTCATGACTTATACTAAACTAGAGCTATTAAACTTAATGCCATTATTGCAGTCTCTCTTGTATTACATTGGAAGAAATCACAGCATATAGATTCATCTAGTTTTTGTCAACTTTTTAAACTTTGTCATACGGCCCAACTTCCCTTGCGTTCACACACCCCCCATGTTCCATGGTCGCTATCCACTGCAGTAATTATAGGCCGCTTCTGAGCCCACTCTTGTATATAGAGGCGTAGAGCCAACCAACGCATGCAACCATTGATCACCACTGTTCGGTCCTTTAGACATTCTTCTGAAAGGCTGACATAACCCTTGGCATCTGTCTGCAGATCATCATGCCTAAGATCTTGTAAAGCAATTCCAGATACTCTACTGAGCTCGTGATCGTAATAACGAGCAACAGATGGGTAACCGAGTGACAAATAATTGTAGATCTGGGTCACAAATCCGTCAGTCAACTCATAATCGGGGACTTCTTCACAGCTGGATTGCGACTCTGTGTGCTTGGGCCTTTCGGAATCACCATAAAAGTTGAATGGCCGACTTTTGCATTTTGTCAAGAAAGATCTGCTTGAGGATCGCGATCCACCTCCAGTGTCTTCGGGACAGCTTCCCTTTGATCGTGGGCCTTCAGATTTAAAGTCGTTCATGTCGGATTTGCATGTGCCCATCCAAAGACCGCCATCAGAATAATCGTCATTTAAGTGATGGTTGGAATACCAAAGCCCAGGAGATTGATGGAATGCATTATGAGTGTACAGATGTTCGACGTTGCTTCCCTCACATACTGTCGTATTGGGACTCAGACTTTGAGGAAACAAAAGATCACATCCAAGCATTGGGGGGCTGAGGAATTGTTTGACCTGTGGTGATCCAGAACCAGGGACCCAGCTTTCATGGACATGATCTGTTTGTCCAGCTCTGCCAGAAGTTCGACAAGCTGTAGGCGAAAAGTGCGGCGCCTTGGTCCCAGCCATAGCACGATCGCACATCTCGGCTTCCTCTTTGTGTCTGCGCATGTAGTCGAGCTCCCAATGGAGATCTGCAGATGACGCGCGTCGGTAAATGTATGATAGAGGCACCTTAGTGCGGATTGATAGCTCATCCTCGTTTGAACAATCCTCCTCCCTATCAATGGCGAAGTGATCTACGGGCTGGTAAACTTGCTCGTTTGGAAAAGCCGCAAGGGCCTGTTCCTTCAGTTGACTTTCTGCCGAATGCGCAGCGAGAGCAAGTACATATTCGGAGTACTCCGTCTGGCGATGTACTTGCGTTGCTTCCAGCTCCAACACAGGTTCGCGGAGGGGAACAGGAGGTGATGCGGGTTGAGATGACGATCTGGATATATCAGACGCGTCACTGGAACTCGATGGAATCGCTGGAAGTTCAGGTACTCGAAAAGAGTGTCTTTTTGTTTCCTGGCGCTGTCGAAGGCTGGTATAAGAGAATCGAGATTCGGCTAACGCGCTAGTAAAGACATGTGTAGAAGAATCACCAACTATATTATGATTGCAGGACACTTGTGCTAGTTTCTCTTGTGTGCGTTCCTTGGGGGGAGTAGGTTGCTTGCCCTGTCGCCGAAATGAATGTTTTCCTGTTTCAACAAGTTGAGGTGTAAACTTTCGTGGGCCTGAAAGTGCTGTGTTTCTCTGGTCATTTGGTGCATACCCCTCAAAGATAGTTTGCACACTCTCTCGAGTCGAAACAACTTTTGATGAAGGCTTCCTACCCAATTGTGGTTTGGCGAGGGTCGGATCGTGTATAACAAGTTTTCTTGGATCTGGGTCATTGGACAGAGCACGATTGTGAGGTGACAAGGCGTATTTCCCCGGTTCAATCCAGGGTACAGCTAGACTATCTGGAGGCAGGTTTGATATTGGGCGGCTCTGTGTCTGAGACGGGTTTTCTGGAGACGATGGATCCCATCGGTGATCATTAAAACTGCGGGTGGATGTTTCAATGAGTTCGGGTATGAACCTTCTAGCTCTTTTCCCTGATGTGACACTTTGATGAGACATCACTTTTTTCACAAAAAAAGGAACAAGGAAAAGGAAAAAAGGCTCATAGGGCTGTGTTTCTCCTGTCTAGCAGCAACTTCTTTTTGTCACAATTCAAGATGAAGACCTTATTCCAATATTATTTATCACTCTATGTGATATTAGTAGTAGCAGTGGTAGTAGTACTTTACTGGGAAATTTCGGCGTTGCTGTGTGTTGGCAGGAGCGGAAGTTTGTTCTATAAGCAGAATAGATTCATAAGGAGGGCTGTTGTACTTGTGACCTATCACCCTGCTATGAATGCATGTTGGGCAGGCATTGTTCAATACTTATGCTGCTTGGTCGTTACATGTCGCTGCCAGCATGTAAGGCAGTCATGTGACAGATAATATGTCAAGCCAAAAACAGACCTTTTATCATCCTAATGGAATATTATTTGAATCTTGTTTTCTAGTTGTCAGAACCCGGTTTGGCCTGACGCCGTGATATAATATTATCTTGATCTTTTTATTATCTTACAAAGCACGTGTGAGTAAGTAATATTTAATTATTAATTTAATTATAATTTTAGGAAAATGTTGGAGGGACCCCTCTGTTTCCTGTTTGGACCCCCCGGCACTTCACCGCCTGCTGAACTAGAAAAGTAACGGTAATATAATTAGCGCAGGCTTGTTGGCGGTGGCCGCTCCGGGCCACGTGACCACACCTCCCTACTAGGTCGCCGCGATCCCTGGGCCCTCCCACCCGAATCAACCCACTCTTTTCCATTGCTTTGTGTGGCTGTTTTTGTCGGATTATAAGCCCGGGGCTTATTATTTTGAAGATATCTGGTAATATCTTATTATTTCTATTATTCTTGCTTTTATAAAGTGTTTTAAATCTAATATTATATAGATTTTTGGATTCTCTATAATATTATTTTATTTAATATATTAAATCAGTATATCTATCAGGTTCTAGAATGATAATATAAGAAATATCTGATTCTATAATACTGCTGCGCAGGCAGCTGGGATATATAGGTATAAAATCAGATATAAATAAGATATATATAAAATCATATAAGACTATATATAGACTAATGTAGATAATTATTAGAATTTATATTAATTAAAAACCAAATCTTATTCTGTTATTATATTAATTTTTTATTTTAATTAATATATTCTCTTCAGCCTGCAAAGACTGTAGTTTCTAGTAATAAATATTAATATAAAATTAAAGTAATTTTTGAATATAGTAATTTTAGCAGTAAAAGAATTAATTAATTTAATTAATTAATTTTAATAATCTCATAAATTTTATATAATTTTAAGATATTAATAATTTAATAAGATTATTAATAATTATTTCAGCTATAAACTATTAAGATATATTAATTTAATTATTCTGAATTTTCTGACAAAGCTAATATTAATAAATATTAATATAATTAGAGTGGCTAACAGTCAGGTAAGATCAGGTTAATTAGAATTTTTATATCTAATCACCAGATTATAATTAGATTAAGAAAATTTTTATATCTGATTATAATATAATTAAAAATTAGATAATTAATTATTTTAATTATTCTTAATATTAAGATTTATTTATTATATTTTTTTAAGCTCTAGTATAATTAAGATATATTTAGATTAAATAGTTATTAATCTAATTATCTTTATTATTATCTAAAAATATATAAAAAAAAGCTTTTTAGATTAAAAAAATATAATTAAAAAAAATTAGTATCTTTTTTATTATTATTTATTAAAAATAATAAGAAAATTCTAGTTATATTAATAAAATTCAGCTTTTTATAAAATTATTATTCTTATAGCAAGAAATATATATAAAAATATATAATTATTAATATTATTTTTTAGCTGTATATCTTAGTTATATTATAAAATATTAAAAAAACTATATATTAAATATTAATTAAAATATTAGAAATAAATATACTATTTCTATTCTATTATTTCTTTTAAATCAGACTATTCTTAGATTTATAAATAAGATATAGCTCAAAGAGCTATTAATAAAATTAAAAATAAATAAATAATTAAGAAGATTATAGATAGTTAAATTATTAAAATAAAATAGATTAAATAAATAAATAAATTAAATAAATTAAATAAATTAAATAAATTAAATAAATTAAATAAATTAAATAAATTAAATAAATTAAATAAATTAAATAAATTAAATAAATTAAATAAATTAAATAAATTAAATAAATTAAATAAATTAAATAAATTAAATAAATTAAATAAATTAAATAAATTAAATAAATTAAATAAATTAAATAAATTAAATAAATTAAATAAATTAAATAAATTAAATAAATTAAATAGATTAAATAAATAAAATAAATTAAATAAATTAAATAAATTAAATAAATTAAATAAATTAAATAAATTAAATAAATTAAATAAATTAAATAAATTAAATAAATTAAATAAATTAAATAAATTAAATAAATTAAATAAATTAAATAGATTAAATAAATAAAATAGATAAATAGAATAGATAAAATATACTAGATTTATATTATAATACTATAGCTTTTATAAAAGATTCTATAAAAAATTTTTATAAATTTTTTTTATAAATATCTATTTTTTATACTAGTCTATTATATTTTAAATAGCTTTATTTAAAAAAAGAGACTATTCTATAACTCTGGGCTTCAGATATAAATTTCTGCTTATTAGATTTATTATCAGATTTATAATTAGAGATTAAATCCTATTTTATTATTATACTAAGCTTTTATTTTAATCTAATATTTATTAAACAGAGTTTTTTACTTTTATTTTTTTTTATTTATTATTTATAGAACAGCTTCAGAATTATAAGTTAATTATAATTATTTAATTTACTTTTAGAGAATATTATTAAATCTTCTTCTTCTATTTCTTAGATTTTTATAAATTATAATAATATTTAAACTAAGATAAGCTTCTTAAGTTAGATTTTTTTTTTCTAAATCTTAAGATTATATATATTATAAAAATTAATCTTTTAATTTATAATAAATCTTTAATAATTTTAGTAGATTTGTTTTATAAAGAGTCTTTTTTTTTATAATACTGTATATAACTATGCTGAATATATTATAAAAGATATTACTTAATATTATTATATATACTAAATAAATATTTTAATTTATATAAGATACTTATCTTTATTTATCAGTAATGATATTATCTGTAAAGATATTATTTATAATATTATAAAGTATTATTTATAACTCTGAAAATACCTTTATTATTTTTTATTTTAATTAACTTACTAGCTGGCTGCTAGATATATCTAAAATTTGTAATTAATTTATTTCATTTTTTTAAAGATTTCTATAGATCTAAAAATTAATTTAATAATTAAAGATTAATAAAAAGAAATTTATTTTTATAATTTTTATTATTAAAAAATCCTCCTGATATTATATATAATATTAAATTAAATATTAATAAAATATTATTATAGATTTCAGAAGTTTAGAATCTATTTAATATTTTTTTATAATATTTTTTAATCTATTCAGATTAACTATCTGCTCTGTTTCTAATTCTATAATATAATTTTAATAATAAATAATATTATTAAATATTTTAGTATGTCTTTATCAGCTTCAGGACTCTCTTCTTTAAAAATATATATAAATTTATTAATATTAAGTCTCTTTATTAATCTCTTCAAGATATTAATAATTAATATATTTTTAAACAATAACTTATTTTTATTATAAAAATAAATTTTATTAAATATAATATCTCTTTCTGCTATTATCTTACTATTTTAAGAATTCTAGATAAATTATATATTTAAGATTTTAAAATTTATAGAAAATCTAATTTATATATATAATTTTAACTTAACTAGTTTAAATATAATAACTTTTTATATATATATTCTGTAATTTATTATTCTAAGATTATTTAGTAAAGATTCTATTCTGTATATTAATTTATATAAAATCTTTTAGAATATATTATTTCTTAAGATAGATATTTAATTTATAATATATATAATAATTATATATAAATATAATCAGAAATTAACTAATAATCTAGATCTAATTTAGATTAATCTTATTATTTTTATTAAAATCTTTTTTATTTATTCTATCTTGCTGTTCTGCTTAGATATTTTATAAATTATTTTATTTTTTAAAAAACTAATCTTATTCTATAATTTCTTATATCTGTTAGTAAAAAATATTTCTTAATTTAAGAATATAATTTTTAATATATATTTAAACTAATTTTCTATTTAATTTATTAGTTTTTTAATTATATTAATAATTTCTTGCTTACTAATAATATTACTGATAATATATTAATTAATTAAATTATTAATAAAATAAAAAATATAGTCTTTAATATTTATCACACGATTAAGAAAGATTAAATTAAAATAAAAATATTTAAATAATTCTTTAATAAATATTATTAATTATTTTAATATCTATTTATTTATTTTACAAAGTTTATATATCTTATAGATTTTTATTATTTCTTTAAGAATCTTAATATAATTAACTAATTTTTTAAGATATTAAATAGTATTCTTTTATATATAATCAAGATAATTATATTAGATTTCGTTAATAATTATTATTTATTATGATTATATTAATCTAGATTATATTTTTATTAATCTAAGAGATAAAAGCTATTTTTATTAATTTTTAAACTAGCTGAATAAAAAAAGCAGAAAAGATAAAAATAAAAAAGAATTAATATAAAAATAGACAAACTTGTAATTTATAAATTCTTATTAATTTAAAAAATAATTATTATTCTTATTATTCTCTGAGCCAGCAGAATAAGAAGAGTAAAAAAAATTAAAAAAAAAATAAATATTTATATTTCTCTCTTAGACTTTATTTTATTATTAAAAATAAATAATCTTAAATTAGCTGAGTAAAGAAAGTATAGCAAAAGAAAATAGAAAAAAAAATAAATATTTTATATTTTTTTAAATTTTATTTTAATATCTAAGACTAAGATTAATATAAACTAGAAATAAAATTAGACTTAATTAAAAATAATATTTAGATTAAATTAATAATAAGATTACTATAAAGTAGAGTATAAAATTAAAATAAAGAAATAAATTAAAGATTATTAATCAGATTTTCTAAAAGAAAAATAATATTATAAAATATATCTTAGACTTATTTAATTTATTTAATCTATTTTATCAGATTAACTTCTGCTGAGTTATATATATATATAAAATTATCAAATTCCCAAGAATTCTTTTTTAAATATTAATTATTTCTTCTTATATCTACAGGCTTGGTTCTCTATAG